CCCCCCCCCCGATAACACGCGTGAAAAGTCTGCTGAAAATGCCTACAATCTATTGGCATTCCTTACATACCGTCAATCAGACTTCCTGCAGTCAACTAAACCATCAACAACCTGCTTTTTTTTTTAAAGTAGTAAGTAAGTGCCACAAATAACCCCTCTTCCTCTTGCAGCAATCCGGTGGCAACCCCGTGCAATCATCACGCTGAGTAACCGCGTATAACTAAGTCGCCAGCCTTGTGTAGAACCTGCACGAGAAATGACCTTCTTTACCTTAGTGTTGGTGAATCGGCAAAACCATATTTATTGTTGTTTTATTTAACCCCTTCGTGGTCAAAGGAGGCATTTTGCCCTCTTTTGAGGGTGTTTCCTCGAGTACCACTCGTGTCACCCATGAAAGGGGGCATAATGCCCCCTATCATTAAATTTTGTGTGTGGACGACGCAGAATCGGCCTTTCTACTTGAACTACAAGGATTTGCAGAAGATTTGCTGTAGTACTGTAGTTTATGAAAGGGGCAAAATACCCCTTTGACGGCCTAATGACTTGGCCGTCTATAGTATAATATAAACAGGTCAAAAGTGTCCGTTCACGAACGATTTAATAATTGCGTGATGTGATCTTACAAAATAGAATGTCACCTTTCATTAAAGAGAATTACTGTAAGATCAAATTCAGAATATACTTAATAAGGCACTTTTGACTGGTAATTCAATTGCTGCACAAGCAATATATCCCAGAAAAAAAACACGCAGTACGATTCACAAACATTCAAGAATACTTCATAAACTGAGATTCGTATTTAAATTTACATCATCACACTACCCTCAATGCTGTGTTACAAGAGATAGTCCAAAAGGGATATTTTAATTTTGTAAAAGGGTAAAATGAGTCCTTTTAGGGGCAAATGACTTGAGTTTGTAAATTAAGTTAAGGGGAAAATAGAACTGCTTAAAGGGTTAATACCAGTATGATTATGTGTGTAAATTGAAATGCGATTCGTGGATATATTAAATTATAGAAACTGAAGTGCTCCCACTGCGATGTTGTCGTAGCTCACTTAATATTGTATTAGGATCCGAATAAACACAGTTATGAGGGAAGCACATAACTGTGTTTATTCGGATCCTAATACAATATGGCGCTTCCTTAGAAGTCTTGCTTGTGTTGTAGTCTGCAATGAGATCGGAGACACAGGGTATCTCTACAATGATACTATGTTATTTGCCTCGAGTCTGCCCACCTCTGAGTCTTACCCTATGCCAGCATTAGCTGGGACCGTCCTGGATCACCAGCACAGTGCGTGGTCAGGTCATGAAGACTATCATCTCACTACAGATGTATGCATCCAAAAAAAAGGCAAGGTTGTATGAAAATATGTATGTGTGCAAGTGTAAATACTCCAGCTTGGTAGTACAAATTTTAGTGAATCCCCACTGAGCGAAGCGAGGCAATCCACACCCTGCTCGCCCGTAGCTTGCATAAATTTTCACGCTTATGGGGCTCCGCCCGACTTGTTGTTTTATGAAGTTGTTCTAATGACACACGGATTATCTTTTTTTTCC